CCCCCTCCCCGGCAGCCCCTTTCAGCACTGGAAGCCGCTCTAAGGTCCCCCCGGAGCCTTCTCTCCTCCAGGCTGAACAACCACCCCACCCTGCCGGCTGTCCTCAGCCAACTTGCTCAATCCCACTGTCCGTGTCGCCAACAAAGATGTTAAACAACACCAGTCCCAATCCCGACCCCTGAGGAGCCCCACTCGTCTTCAGAAGAGCAGCTTTATTTTTTATTCATGGCAATAAAAATTACCACACTTGAAATAATTACTGGGCTGCTGCTGAATCCTGTTTTCATGTTTTGAGCAAAACCCAGCCTTCTGCTATAAATAAATGTAGAAAGAGTGAGTTTTCTGCAGCAGGCACTGCACTCGGTGCGCAGCAGCGGGGGGACGGGACTGGCTGCATGTCCCCTCTCCCAGCCCTGACTGGCAGGAGGGTGGTACGAGGTGGTGGCAGGTCCTGGAGCAGGTTGGACCCGTCATACACCTGTGGCTGACTACACAAGGGTGCCTGGGCCCTGCCTCAGCTTCGGCGTGGCGACCTCAGCTCCTGCCAGATCTCACCCTACGGCCGCAGACCCCCTGCCTGGCTGATTCTGCTGCACCCCAGCCCCGGCGTTTGGGCCAGAAGGGGATGGTCTCCACGGGCTTTTTTTGGCCAACCAGCACCCAGCCCTTGACTGGGGGCCGTGCCTCAGCTGGTCTTTGTGAGAAGACTCAGGGCAGGGTTCCCCCATGCTGGTGGGTCGTTGTCTGCCGTTAATTAACTTGCCGTGAAGGGTACACGCTGCATTTCTCTTCTGAGTGTCCCCACCTCAGCTTTCATCCCTTACCCCCCTCCCCCCCCATTTTTTTCTCCCCGTTCGCTGCCTTGGCTCAGGTGGGGCGTTTCTGCCTTTCTGCCCCATCCCAGTGGGGACTTCTCGAGGGGCTGCAGTTCAGCTGGGACGACGGAGCGTGGACAGGCCGTGCCTTCGCGCCGTCTTGGCCAGCGGTTGACCGGGACGAATCTCCTGCCGCCGCCAGGCCTTGAAGAGCTGGGAAACTGGTGCAGTTTGTGCAGTGGAAAGGGAAGAAGCGCAGGGTCCCCTTGAGGGGGTTTCTTGTCCCTGCTTTCCCCGCTGTGGGCAGAAGAGAAAAGCTGGAGGATGGCACGCTTGGGGCCAAAACAGATCCATCAGCTTTAAAGGAGGCAGGGAAATGCGGCTGCATTGTCCCCCCGGGAGGCGAGATGATGTCTCCTGGGCGTGGGGTGTGTGGCACTGTCCCCAGTTCCTGTCCCCTGGGACGGTTCCTGTCCCAGAGCCATGTCCTTCTGTCAGCAGAGGGCTGCAGGCTGCCTCATCCCTCGGGGACACGGGACCTCATGCGCCGCGGTGTTTCTCTGGAAGCTCTTTGGGCTGGAGCAGAGCTGGTCTCTGCGCCTGGTTCCTAAATCATCGCAGGCCGAGTGAGGTTGGGCGCAGGCAGGGGTGGGCTGGGGATGGGTCTAAATGTCGGGAAACCATCGACCCCAACGGCGCCTCCTTCACTGACCCCCTTCATCCGTGGGCTGATGGATGGTCTGAATGTCGAGTCTCAGCACAGCTCCGGGTTCAAATCCAGGGAAAATCAGCAGGTCGGGTCCCTGTCGGCTGCCAACCTCCACCTCCCGTCATTCTCCCAGCAGGAACGGCCGGCTGGAGCCCGCAGGCACGGCTGCTGCAGCCCCGGGACCCTGCGGGTGTCCCTGTGCCGCTGCCCTCGGTGGGGAAGCGTGCACGGCCGGAGCCGGGCGTCGGGGAGGTGACAACGGTGCAGCCACGGGCTGACCCATCGCCAGGTCGCGGTGAATGAACGTACCTGAACGCAAACAATCCCCCCTTCAGCTGAAGAGGCGGGTGGAGAGAGGTGGAGGCAAGGGGAAGGTTGATTTTTAACCGTGCAGAGTATTAAATAGCGTGCCCTGAAACGCTGTAGACGAGAGCTGGGAGCCCAGCCAGGAGCGCCGCGATTCAGGACCCACCTCCCCGGCCCCACCGGAGCAGGAGCCCTGTGCCCGGGGACCCACAGCACGCCTCTGTCCCCTCTCGGAGGGCTGTGGGGCAAGGAAGGTGCCTGCCCGGGGGTTTAGTGCTTAGTTAGACCCTGTTATAATCCTCGAGAGTTTGTGGTTTTATTTGAATGCACGCCCAAGTGTGAGAGGGAAGAGAGACTCTTGGGGCTGAGCCAGCAGTGCCAGGAGGATAACCCACGGTTTACTGAATCTTGCTTGCTTAAAAGAAGAAAAAAAGGGTGTTTTTTTCCCCGATTCCCAACCCAGGAACCTGCAGGGAAGCGAGGGAGCAGCGTCCCTCTCCACCCTGCCCTGAGTCCTGGAGGGTTTTGTTGGGCAGCGGTTGCTGCGCCCGGGGGTCCCGCAGAGCCTGGGGGTCCCATGCGGGATGCTCGGCAGCCAGCAGCTCCCAGCATCGGGGCAGGGGGGGCCGGATGGATCCGCATCCCACCCAGGGGCAAGCGCTTGGTGTCACCCCCTCTGCCCCCAGACACCCCTCCAGCGCGTCAGCGTGGACGTCCATGGAGCCGTGACCCAGATCGGGGAAATGATCCGGATTAACGCTCAATCCCCGGGCCCTGAGGGAGCAGCCGGGCAGATCGAGCCAGGCGCTGGGGCAGGCGGCCGGTTTGCTTTGAGGGCATCACCCTGCTGCCACCCGAGCACCAGCCAGCTCACCGCAGCAGTGGGCACCCAGCCCAGCTCCCCAGGCGGGTCCTTGTGCCCGGCCCAGCGCTGCGAGAGGAATCTCAGCT